ACACCCCCCCCCCCCCCTCGTTAAGCATGAACACGTATTTTTTGAATGATCCCTGATGATGATGATAATGATGGTGGTGTTGAATCTGTTGACGATGGTTGTGATGACGGTGATGGTTTCTTTGAACATAGTACTAGAAATGTTGCAGTGTGAACCGGATACTTGAACCTTGGTTAAAACCGATAATGCCCCCGTCATTAGCCTTATGATATACAAGGATCCTTTAAAGAGCTTTGAGTGGATATCACTATCAGGAAAAATATCGAGGGAAGGAAACTGGTCCTTGACCATGGCAGTGCTTGGGAGTGACCAGAGACATGTTCACTTTCAATTACACAGCCATATAGGAAAGGTGTACTGTGCATAATCTCACCCTAATATGTGACAGCGAGTAAAGACTTTGAAACTAGCAACAGTCTGGAATGGGAATCCCGCCTGCTGTCTTTTCGTTCCGTTTCCATAATGAGACTAGTCGAAACTTTGGAATTATATGTTTACTGTGGAAGAAAGTTCTCGATAAAGAATCAAAAGAATATATTTAGAAGTAAAAAAAATGGTATTTAGGTACTCGTTTAGGTATTGTGTGATTTATATCTGAAAATTCATTTCATTTGACAACTAGTTGTTCTATTCTTTTCGTTCTGCCCGATTATCAGAGGTGCTGCCAGATCATAATCTGGCAATCGTAACGATGAATTAATTAGCCAAATATAAGGGAGGTCTGACATTTTGATATTGATAATCGTTCGTAAAAGTTACCAACAACCTTTTTCGGCTAGCTGTAAATTTGTTCTGGTGTTGGGTGAAGGTCCGATCGTGTCAAATGTATTTTCAATTGGCGTCTGTCGAATGAACGTCTTGCTTAGCTTATTTGCTATAAAGTAGACCTGGACACTTGTTTAAGAGCCCGATAGGAAAAATCAACATTGAACTTCACTGCATGACATCTCATGTTAATGTAAATTTTGCTAATAATACTGATCTGCATGCAGGCCATTTTCCGAGAGCATGAATCGGCCGCCTTTGGTTTTAGCCGTCAGACAGCGCATGATCGATACTTGGCAAGAGAACAATGTGTCCATGACTACAAAATGTAAAAATCAATATTTAGCACTTGAATACAAAATTTTATAAAGAACTGAATCAATAAGGAAACGGTTAACGCCCTGTGTCGTTGGCATGTCAAGACTTGAGCTACCACAGTTGGCATCGATCCCTAATCAACTTCGTGTGGTCGGTGATCCTCCTTGAGTGACAATTCAGGGGGAGCTTACCTTCTCCCAGAGCCGGCTGGTAATCTTGCTGTCTACACGCCGTATAAAAAACGAGACCTTAGTTCAGAAGTCAGGCTATTGTTGGAATCCGAATGCATAGCACTATATATGCTAAACCCACGGGTGCGTAATGAAGAATATAGAAGTGAATTTAGGTTATTTAAAACTTGAGGTGGTTTGAAAATGTGCAGTTATGCTCCTTCATACGATTAGAAGCTTTTTTAAAGATCTCGTTTTTATTGATACACCCTGCATAGTATAAAGGGTTCCGTTAATATTTACTTCTTTTGAATTGAATACCAATTTCCGGGTTGCGGTTTTGCCGATGGCGTGTCGCCACAAGAATTATCAGCCAATTACAATTGACAACATAACATTCTTGAAGAAATGCCAAAAAAATTATCTTGGACCAAGGCAAGATTCAATTAGTTGAATCAAATCACATCTTCTTGTTTTCATAACCCATATAGTCACAGTGTCTTTAATTTTATCTTACTCTTCTAATTTCTTTATTCAGTACACTTTGTTGTTAATCGAGTAGATCGCTCATTTAAAGCACGTGTTTCAAGATTTGTAAAATTATTTTTATGAAAATGTACATTGTCATAGGTCATTGTACGTACAATTATAGCTTATACAGTACCTTATTTATTTTTAATTCAATAAGTACTATTTACAACATGAGCGGCCGTGTTGTATCGGATATACAAACTCGAGCCGAAGGCGAGAGTTTGTATATCCGATACAACACGGACGCGAATGTTGTAAATGGGGGTTAAAAAACGACTCATTTTATGAGTTCATTGGCGAAGTAATTTTAAAAATAAACGTTGTCTAAGCCGAGAAAATCAAAGTTAAAGTTTATGTAAATCAACATGAATCTGTATCACAGATACGACACGCTTTGTGTTTTCATCATGAATTATTAATGAGTTTTTTAACGATATATAAAAAATACTGATATAAAAAAATAAAAATTCTACATACATATATACATATATATATATATATACATACATATATACATATATGTATATATATATATATATATATATATATATATATATATATATATATATATATATATATATATATATATATATATATATATATATATATATATATATATATATATATTGTTTAACAATTAAATATTTTATTATTCGCCTTTTGGTTATATATATAAATACTACGTGCACTGATTAAAAATACTAATATACCTGAAGACTGCTATTGTAAATTTTAAAATGTATAGTACCAAATGAATGTTTCTAGTTTCTACAGTACTTGTCTTGTCCATCAACTACATCCGGCGGTTATAATATAAATTTCTACACTTTCGAGTCGCTCTTGTAATATTTC